TCAAGGATTCACATCATCAAAATGTCCATATTACCCAAAGAAATCTACACATTCAGTGTAGTTCCTATCACAATACCAATGACATTCTTCACAGAAATAGAAAAATAAGTCTTAAAATTTGTGTGGACCCACAGAAGAACCTGTATAGCTAAAACAATCTTGAACAAAAAGAACAAACTTGGGCACGTCTCACTACATGACTTAAAAATATACTATAAAGCTATAGTAAACAAAACAGCATGGTACTGACATAAAAACAAACAAATAGATCAATGAACAGAATAGAGAGCCCCGAAATAAACCCATACACTTACAGTCAACTGATTTTCTTTTCTTTTTTTTTTTTAAAGATGACTGGTAAGGGGATCTTAACCCTTGACTCGGTGTTGTCAGCACCACACTCTCCCAAGTGAGCCACGGGCTGGCCCCAGTCAACTGATTTTTGACAAAGATTCCAAAAATATACACTGGGAAAAGGATAGCCTCTTTAACAAATGGTGCTGGGAAAACTGGATATCCACATGCAGAAGACTGAACCTAGATCCCTATCTACAAAAATCAACTCAAGATGGATTAAAGACCTTAAATTTAAGACCCAAAACTATGAAACTACTAGAAGAAAATATAGAGGAAACACTACATAAAATGGGAGTGAGCAGTGCTTTTTTGAGTGAGACTATAAAGGCACAGGCAACTAAAGCAAAAATAGAAAAATGGCACTACATCAAATGAAACACTTCTGTACTCCAAGGGACACTACCAACAAAATGAAGAGACAACCTATAGAATGGAAGAAAGTATTTGCCAACCACACATCAGACAAGGTGCTACTATCCAGAATATATAAAGAACTCCAACAATTCAACAGCAAAAAACCAAATAACCCAATTAAAAAATGGGCAAAGGACCTGAACAGACATTTCTCAAAAGAAGACATATAAATGGCCAACAGGCACATGAAAAAATGCTCAACACACTACTCATCAAAGAAAATGCAAATTAAAACCACAATATGATATCATCTCACTCCAGTTAGAATGCCTATTATCCACAAGACAAAATAACAAATGCTAGTGAGGATGAAGAGAAAAGGGAACTCTCCTACATTGTTGGTGCGAATGTAAATTGGTACAGCCACTGTGGAAAACAGTACAGAGGTTTCTCAGAGAACTAAAAACAGACCTACCTTAAGACCCAGCTATCCCACTACTGTGTATATAGCCAAAGGAAATGAAATCAATATGTCCAAAAGACACCTGGACTCCTATGCTTACTGCAACACTATTCACAATAGCCAAGAAATGCAATCAACCTGAATGCCCATCAGCAGATGAATGGATTAAAAAACTGTGATATATAAACACAATGGAATACTATTCAGCTTTACCAAAAAATGAAATCCTACCATTTGCAGCAACATAGATGGAACTGGAAACCATCATATTAAGTGAAGTAAGCCAGGCACAGAAAGACAAATATTACGTGATCTCACTCATATGTGTGTGGACTCTTTCAAAAAAGAAAAGAAAAGAAAGTGGATCTCAAAAAACAGAGAATAGAGTGAATAGAATAATGGTTACTGGAGGCCAGAAAGGAAGGGGGTCGGTGGGGAATGGTGGACTAACTGGTACAAAACTGCTATCTACCCTAAGTGAATCACTGCACAGTATATGTATGTGTGTATTGAAACAACACACTGTACCCCAGAAAAATGTACAAGTAAATGTTAAAATACAAAATCGATCTTAAACTTTCTTCATACTTCACATGGCTGGAACACAAGATTCCTTTCGTCTTAAAGAAGGGTCAACTCACTATATGTTAAAGACATGCCAACTTCATGATTTTAACACTGGGCCTAATGTCTTTGTTGTATGAAGTGTTGTGTGTTACTCTATCACTTAATAAATGTACCATAATGTATATTTTTAGACTTTTAATTAATGTAGTACCAAGTTTCTGATTAAGAAATTCAAAACCTGCTTTGCATGCTGAAACATAAGTATAATTATACAGATTTAGTTGCATTAATCTAATTCAATGCAAATAATTTCAGGGAAAATTTCTATTTAAGTATCAGAGAGAAAAACACTACCAAAATTATTGTATATGTCACAATGGGCATATAGCTGGAAGAAAGAGTAGGGGAAAGGTAGTATGATGCCATTTTAAGTATAAAATAAATTTTTGAAGCAAGCTTGAGAATACTTGTTTGTAGTTTCTTCCGAATTAGTTGCAAAGAGCAGGCATTTTTTCTTAATGCTTAAAATTCCCCAATTCTGCAAAATCACATACTAAAAATGATAACGCCTAAACAGCGTAGGGCAGACCATTCAAAACACATGCAACTTTGTCATAGAGCACTAATAAAAATAAAAACAATCTTAAGTAAAAATACTAACACACATTAAGATTTTTTTTTTCTTTTTGTCTTTTTTCGTGTCCGGCAACAGATCGCAACCCTCAGTGTCGCACCCGCACCGGACCGGGACCGGCAACGGGATCACAACCCTCGGTGCTGCACCCGCCCCTCGCTCAGCCAGTGAGCGGCCGGTCTGTACGTGGGATCCGAACCCTCGGCGGGAGCGTCGCTGCACTCCCAAGCGGCGCACTGTAGCAGTGCACCACCGGGCCAGCCCACACATTAAGATTTTTAAAAACATGTTAAACCCTTTAATAAAAAATAATAATAAATACAGGACTCTAAAAAAAGGTGAAGGAAGTTTGAAGTATAGGAGTGAAAGCAAAAATTGAGGCTGCTTGTTATCAGGGCAAAGGCAAAATACAGCTGGGGAGAAGCAGCAACAAACTCTGCCAAGCCAAGCCAAGCAGGAGCATATGGGGTGAAGTGGCTTCACAGCACTATGTCCCTTATTGCCTTGCTGGCTGCATTATTATACTTTGCACTCAGTGCAAACAATGTGCTGGGAAACATTATATATTAATCAACTTGAATTCTGTGTTATACTAACATCGTCCCCTGACTCACCAATTGTTTCTGAGTTATTCCCATTAAAGAAACATATCATAATTTATTCTTTTTGGGGGTCAGATTGGAACTAGGTATAAATTAGGGAAGAAATTTCATTTTCTAGTCTTTCCTTCTAGGTCTCTATTAAAAATGTCAGTTGTAATACCTTGATTTCCATGAAAAACTGGGCAAATTTGAACAATAAAAGTTTTGCTACTTTCTTGAGTATAATTGCTCACTTATTGAAATGTTGAATCTGTGAAAACCTTTTTCTATTTAACTTTTTGATATAGAAAGTTCCAAACATACACAAAAGTAGAAAGGACAATATAATAAACCTCCATATGCCTATCACTTAGTTTCAAAAATTATCATGGCCAGTCTTGCTTATCTACACCATCATCCATTTCCCTTTACTTTTTTTTTTCTTTTTTGTGACCGGTAAGGGGAACGCAATCCTTGGCTTGGTGTCGCCCGCACCGCGCTCAGCCAGTGAGCGCACTGGCCATGGCTATATAGGATCCGAACCCGCGGTGGGAGTGCAGCTGCACTCTTAGCGCCGCACTCTCCTGAGTGTACCATGGGGCCGGCCCTCCCTTTACTTTTTTTGAAGCAAATCCAAGACTACCCTATCATTTTACCCATAAATATTTCTGTATGCATGCTAGAGTCTTTTAAAATTATCTTTTCAGGGGAAGGAAATGGGCCATTCATGCTTAAATGTGATAACAACATGAAAGCCTAAGTTTTGGAATTTCTCCAACTCTATTGTAATAGCTCAAAAATACCACAAACTGGACAGGGAGTATGTATCAAGATTTTCTAGGATGCAGAGAAGAGGGAACCCTCCTGCACTGTTGGTGGGAATGTAAATTGGTACATACATTGTGGAAAACAATTTGGAGGTTCCTCAGAGAAAAAAGCTCCACCTTATGACCCGGCTATCCCACTACTGGGTATGTACCCAAAGGAAAATGAAATCAATATATCAAAAAGACACCTGCATTCCCATGTTCATCACAATGCTTTTCACAATAGCCAAGAGATGGAATCAACCTAAATGCCAATCAATGAATGAATGGATTAGAAAACTATGGTATATATACACAATGGAATACTATTTAGTTATAAAAAGAAATGATATCCTATCATTTGCAGCAACATGGATGGAACTGGAAACCATCATGTTAAGTGAAGTAAGTCAGGCACAGAAAGACAAATACTGTGTAGTCTCACTCATACGTGGAATCTAAAAAAAAAAAAAGTGGTTCTCATAGAAGTGGAGACTAGAATAATGGTTACCAGAGGCTGGGAAGGGAAAGGGATGGGGGGGTGAGAAGTGGTGGACTAACAGATACAAAACTATGCTGTCTTCCCTAAGTGATTCATTGTGTAGTATATGGATGTACTGAAACAACAGACTGCAATAAATATAAATAAAATTGGAAAAAAAAAAAGATTCTCTAGAAGTGCTACTTTTGCCTGCTCTTTGGTTAAAAAGGCAATATACTCGTAATGTAGTGGTTAAGAGCAGGAACTAGTGCCAGACTGCTTGGGTTCATGTCCAGCCCTACTACTTACTAGCTATGTGGCCTTAAGCTCATTGCATAACCTCTGTGTGCCTTGGTTCTTCATTTGTAAAATGAGGAAAACAATAGTACCTATCTCATAGAGATATCTGAGGAATAATTGAGTGAATACACATTAAAGTGCTTGGGACAGTGCCTGGCATATAATAAGTACTATGTTAGTCATTTTTATAACATAAAGGTGCAGTAGTTATTATTAAAGATTAAAAACAAAAGAACATTATCTTTACTGAGTCCAGAATGCCAAAGAGTATTGTAAGGAAGAGTCAGTAATAAGTCTCTGGAGATGAAGATGTCAGCAGAAAGCCTTAACAGCCAATCTGGGGTTCACAGGAATAGCAATCCAGCTTTGCTTTGTAATGGATTTTATTACCCCAAGTTTTAAAAACTCAAAGCCAAACAAGTGAAATTTCAGAATTCTGAACAACGAAAAAATATACCTTGGCATCAGCTTCCCAACACTGATGTAACAGTTCAGCAAAACTTCTGGGGCAACTGCTTGGAATGGTTAATCTCTACAATAAAAAGAGGGAAACAAAACAAAATGAAACACAAGGATTTATCATTGAGGCAAGCAAATACTATTTGGACAGCCATAAACAAGTTAATTTAAGAGCATCAACAAGGCATGAAATTTAAAGCTTCCACTGATTAATATATGACAGGTGAGAATTTATGTTTAGATTGGTAATATCTAATCTCTAAAGACTTGTACTTTTCCTCTACAGAGGAATCGCAGTGGATGGAGAAGTCAGGTTCAGTACAACAAATGCACAAAACATACAATCAAATCTAAAATAAAATACAGCAGGAGAGGAACAAGTTGGAACTTAAATACTGAATCTAAAACCACAAATTTATCGGGCCGGCCCGGTGGCGCACTGCTACAGTGCACCGCTTGGGAAGCGCGGCGGCGCTCCCGTCGAGGGTTCGGATCCCACATACGGACCGGCCGCTCACTGGCTGAGCGAGGTGCGGGAGCAGCACCGAGGGTTGCGATCCCGTTGCCGCGACACTGAGGGTTGCGATCCATTGCCAGACATGAAAAAAGACAAAAAGGAAAAAAAAAAAAAAAACCCACAAATTTATCACTATACTTTTATAGGCAACTTATTATATATGCAAACAGGCCAGGTAACTAGGAAACCAGTTTAGCTTTGGCAGTAACAGTACAACTCTGAAGATATATGAAGATCACAGAGATAAGTTTATGGAGAACTGTGTATTTTCTCATTGGTAAATAAGATACTCTGAATGTATGACTCATTGTGGCTTTGTTTTAATCAAACCCATATACTGTAAGGACCTGATACAACACAAATTATAATGTGAGGATCAGTTCTATTCTAACATTCTACAGTAACAGTTCTCACAGAACATGTAATGCCCCTATACTGCAGGGGCATTTTTGTTTGTTTTAAAGACTAGAGGGTTGCAACTGGCATTTAAGGAGAGCAGGTCAGGAATGCTAGGCATCCTTCAACATACCATTAAGTCCTACATGATCAAGAATTCTCTCGCATCCCACCAAATTTCAAATACCCCATGTGCATTCATGTAAGTAAAAAAAGCAAACAAGGAAGCTTATAATTTTCTGGGCCTAGAATCTAACTCTGGTTTACAAATAAACACAAAGTATTTTCTGAACCGTTTAAAAATATGCTGAACTTTCCTAAAACGCACTACCAAATAAATAAATTAAGGGCAGATTGATTTTTGCATTTCATAACTTTACCAAGATTTCTGGAAATTGTCACTGACAACAGTGCAGCTCCTGGTACTGGAGTCATTAACAAAATCCAACTCTCTCAGGCTGCATTTGTAGCTGTTGAATTTTATTTATTCATAAATGCAAGCATCTAAAACCGCTCCATTATCTCCTCTAGTATGATTATGCCTGAGCATTTGTGCACTGCAATAGATATTTCATTTATTTCTCCTTTACATTACAGTTAGAGCATTATAATGACTTAAAATATGATGTGTACAGGTAAGTTGCATTACCTCTGAATTTCATTTCAGGTGAGTGAGAGGGCGTTATCACAGTTGTTACAAAAAGAGCACTGCGTGTGATGGAGTTGAGAACCACTGTACTAAGATTTATTCCACAGTATTGTTAGCCAAAGAAGTTTTGCAAATAAAAAATTTAAAACTGAACTTATTTGGATTTGGGGAGTCTACATATAAAACTAGAAAAATACTTGCCTTGGCAAGAAAACTGACAATCTAAATTTAGAATTACAGATAAACTTAAAATCAAAACAAAATAAAGTTAGAAAACAGAACAACCTGCTACAAATTATAAGCTATGCTAAGTACTTTTTAACTTCTAGTATTGTGATTTCATGAAATAGAACAAGATGTATTAAACTGTACTATTATTTTGCTGTAATGTGAAAAATCAGGTGTTTCCTTTTTTTAAGAAATATAAGATAGCTGGGCAGTGGCAACAAATAAAAACAGACTATAATTGCAATTATGCAACTGAACATACCCGTCTGTAAATACAACTTTGTCTCAACATTGTTCCAAGAACTGAGATATGAATTGGCTGAATATGGATTTTGATCATTTCTGTCATATTTTCTTATTGAACAACTGTTCGGATACCACATCTAAGACACTACACAAGGAGACACAATTATTTTAAATAATCTGACATGGTCAAATATCAGTTAAATATAGACTCAGACATTTTATTTAAAGGATTATTTTGGTGCATCAAAAAGTACTTTAAAATAGAAACCAAAGTACTTAAGTCCTGATTACATAACTGTGTGCATTCCTAATGCATGAAAACATTCTGAAATAACCATATCTTAGCACCAGGTCTGCAACACTACTTTAAAAAATATTTAAAAATAAAAGTTTCGAATTTAAAATTAAAGTATTTCCCAATAACTAAATTAGGCATGACATTTTAAAAAACATCATATCTTTTTTGCACCATTTTCTATATAAGATATAAAAATTATTTTTAAGTCATCTTTATCTTTTTCTAAAGTGTAGTCAGAAGCAATAGATTAAGTTTTATGAAGATTTTTATGTTGATCAAATTGTTTTTCTACTTAGAACAAAATTCATTTTATATAAGAATCTAGGTATTTATAAAAAATAGAAATTATGCTGTCAGAACATTCTGAATGGCCACTGATTGAGTTTCATGGAAATGACAAAAGCAAATATATATATCTGTTACATTTCAAAAATGTATTAGTAATGCCCTCTTCACTTTATACCTTCTATAAAGGTTCACTGTTTACTAAAGTTTAGCAGTATTTTACGAATCTAGTTTTTTTTTGTTTTAGTTTTATTTTATTTTGTCAATACGATGTGGTTGATTTGAATCTAGTTTTAATAGGATTTAATATTAGAAAAAATGAATGTTTAAAGGTCTTATTTAATTATTAAGGGATTAGAAGCAAAGATCTTTAGATATAATTTTCAGAAAGTATTGATTTTCCTATGGATGCAAAAAACAATCCTAAATGGTGAAACTGAGTAAGGTTTATTGTCTAGTTAAGAGTAATGTACCAATCTCGATTCCCTGGTTTTGATACTATACTACAATTATGAAAGATGCCACAAGTGGGGAAAGCTGGGTGAAGGGTACACAGGATTCTTTGTAATATTTAGACAAATTCCTGTGAGTCTATCATTATTTCAAAGTAAAAAGTTAAAAAGAAAAGGCAATCCTAGTACTTGAATATAGACATTACAGGGCAAACTGAGCACATTTAAAACATTTCCCTGAAAGTTCAAACACATCATTCTTTATTAAAATGAGGCCTGACAAAAATATGGCTTTCTCTTTTCAACCCAATAACCCAAGGTATTCAACAGTAAAAACAGATAAACTAAAATAATTATTTAAATAAGTTGAAGGGATGCATAAATTATATTTCTTTAAGTCAAAGTCTCAATTTTGTTATGAAATGAAATGAAACGAAATAAATCCTTGGGAATTATTTCAATGCTATGTCAACAGAATTTGTTTTGGAAACAAGTGCCTCCATTTATGAGGTGAAATGAAGACACCTTGAAAGATGACAATGAAAATTACATTTGAACTTAATTTCCATATTCTTGACAAGTAAATATTGTGCAGAATAGGAAGAGCAGATTAATATCCTGTAATGCCTAATTTTACTAAAGTTCATTAGAAAGCTTATTTTATCATGTGGGTTTCTTTAAACTATTATATTTAATAAATACAGTATGGGAACATTTGAGTAGCTTTCATCAGTTCTTAACTGATCATCAGAACACATCATCAATAAAATAGTAAACTCTACTTCATGGGTTCTCTGGGGAGAAAGATGGAGACCGCTTCTTCATGCACAATGTTGAAGAGGTTCTGAAGGTTATTTATGGGTGATCCACAACCCTCAATTCAATTATCCAAGCAGCTTCTAAATTCATTTTTCTCATCAGCTTTAAGAATCCTTGACCGATATGCCAATGTCTTAAAAATCCTTTAGATTTACATCTATTCTGCTATCCTTTAAATGAAATATTATTTTAAAATACTAACTATTCTGTCTTATACATATTTCGAAGATCCAGTTAGGATTTAACAAAAACAAACTTTCTCCTAGTTTATCTTGGAACGCGGTAGAGGGAAAAAAAGATTACACTGAATGTTCTGCTCCAGAGTCAACAGAAGGTCAATAATTTTCCTCACTCTCGTTTGTAAACTCAAAACCAAACATCTAATCATCTCACTGGCAAAAGAAACAGTGGGTCCTCATATCATGAAAATATCAGTTTTCCTGTGTGTGAGCTCTTATTAATAGCACACCAGGAATTACTAATACATTTAATTAAAACAGAACAGCTCCTGTGCAACAATAAATAAGGCACATTTTCACATATAACTCCCTTTCACTTCTTACATTGGCAGCTCTTTCCCATCCAGTTCAGCTATCATCAATACTGCATCCATTCCCAATGAATCAGGCGAACAAATTAGTAAAGTGGCTCTGAATTATGTGATCTAAAAAATGGAAACTTGGTTTCTCCTAGTCAACAGCAGCTTTTTGATTAATCTAGTTTGTTCTCGCACTCACATGGAAAGCAGATTAATCCAATTCTTTTAAAGAATTAAAAAGGGAGTATCTTTACATATTCACCTTTTTGCAAATTATTTATCCTAAGGTTGCACTCTTACTCTTATGGAGGGCACAGATAAGATCTGGTAATGAAAAGAAGTTGTATAAAATAAAGTTGTTTAGCATTGCAAAGACAACTGCATGCTTCCACTACGCAATCTAAGTTCTCATAATACCCTGATATTGGATGCTTCATCCTTATGCTGAGAATTTCCATGGCTGTACGTTTCAGTCACAATTTTAAACCTTTCAAAATGTAGTTGCTCTCTTTGATATGAATGTACCATGTTCTCTGATGTAGGCTCATAGGTCCAACTAACGGAAAGCCTCAATTTGTGGGAAGAAGAAAAGCGAGGCTGGGGACACAGCACAAACGGTGTTTACGCCACTGAAGTTCTTTTGAAATGGAAAGGCTCTGCATGAAGAAGCGAACAGTTACGCCACTGCCTCGCCAATTCCAGTGAGGAGCTCATCTTCAATGTAGTGTTCAACGTAGGTGGCAAAACTGTAATTTTTCCCTTTTTTTGAAACTATTTTTTCTTCTTTTATTTTTGAAATTCTCATCTAAGCGACAGTTTCTTGTACTATAGTGACTCCTGCTGGGAGAGGTAAGTTGAAGTAGCTGAAGGTCTCTTACAGATATATCAACTCCCGGACAGTAAAAAAGATGTCCTAAACGCAGGAGATGGAGTTAAACTGTTCCCCTACCTTGGACGCAATGGCTTCTTTCATCACTAAGAACAAACCCCTAGGTTTTACAATTGAGACTGAGAAACTAGTACAGTACTTGTACAATTTTTGATCTACAGCATCACGACGTGAAGCTGCAACAATTAGATGTAAAGGGTCCATTCATGAGGAATAACATCACTTTGACCCTTTGTGTTAGCTCCTACTGCTAATCTTTCCATAAGCGTGAACTTACTTTCAATTTGAAGAAGATGAAAAAGTCTTTTGCAAAACCCCAATACTGTTTTCTGATCTATGTACCTGAATGGAGAAACGTAGTCTTACCTCGTTTTTTTCCACTACAAGCCAAGCTACTTGTAATCCTTCCAAACCTTTAAAGGGGACCTCCCTTGTCAGCATCTCCCAGAGAACCTAGAACAAAAAGAATATGGAATTTTTATTCTTGTACTTTATATTTTTGGTATGTTACTGAAACTTTATCTAACACTTGATTGTATCCAATTACCAGACACAACTAAACCCATCTGTAGAAACTTGGGCAAAACATATATATTCACACACAGGACTTCTTCTATATATTATATACTTTTTTTTTTTTAATAAAGAAAAACCCTGGGTTAGAAATTAGGACATGTAGAGCTAGACTTGAAATTTTATGAAACTAATGCACCTCAGTGATTTAACTTGGTCTATAAATTATTAGAATTTCCATATATTCCCATAAATTAGATTTTGCATTTTGTTAGTTAATACTCTTTTCACCTTCAATCTCTGATACATTTCTCTGTAAGATAATAACTGGGAATTCAACAATATTTTTAAAAGTTTAATAAAGGTCTCATCAAGAAAAAATTGAACCCAAATACATATCACTGGCTAACCCACCTACCCCACAACAGTAGATACTGCAAAATTATAACATTTAGATTTTGTGTTTTGGAGAAATCTTTCTCAAAATGAGTCAGTGTAAGGGATCCATTTTCATCCACCTATAATCTGATTTATTATGCCATATTCTAAAATGTAATAAACACTTTACATACATATAAGCTGATCATATGTATTTGAGTTTAAATGTGTGTTCATCTCTGTGCAGTTCTTGAGATCAGTATGGCATGGTTAATAAATCTGAACTGGAATGCCCAAAGAAAGCAAATTGATCCTAGGAATGCTGCCAATTTTAGTTTCTCTTCAAATACTGTACCGAGTAATGGAGATTTGTACACTCTGTTACTTTCTCTATTTACACAAATGGACATCAAAAATTTGAGTCTGCCGACATTTTGTAACATGCCAAAACGATTCTAATTTTATCAATAATAATCATAACAACCACTACCATTTATTGAGTGTTTATTATGTCCCAGGTACTCTTTACATATTAATCACGATTAATACCAAGCCTATACAATAAATATTATTCTCATTCAATAGGTGAGGAAATGAGGGCTGAAGCAAGTTAAATAAACTTGCCCAAATATACTCAGTTATCAAGTGACAGAGCCAAAACATGAACTTGCTGTCTCATGCCCAAAGTCAAGCTCTTAACACTGTGTAATTCTAGAGAAGGGAAAGATGTAGTACTCGAAAGAATGCCACAGGCCATATTTTAGGTATGGACCCGTGGCAGAAGCGAGAGAACTCAGCAGTTTAGATTTAGATTTCCCATGTTCTAACGACAAAAATCCATTTTTAAGTAAGAATGTAGATGGAAGTCATATACTTTATTCAAGCAAATCCTATGAACCTTTAACTCTGTAGCCACTATGTCCTCAGCCAGTGCTGTCTTATTCGAGCCATAACATGTTAAATAAATTCTGGCTAATACAAAGATAATTAGCAGGAAAATCAGGGAAATTGGCAGATGCTGCTCAAGCAGGAGAAAAAAAATCCACTGAAGCCTCTTTGGGTTTTTAATCAAGTGTTTAAGGTCCTTCTTTAGAAGAGCTACTGAATAATTCTACTTGAGTCACACAAGCGATGTGGAGGAAAAGATAAGGGGCACCCCAGAAGGGGACAATTCTAGTGAACACTGTAAGTAAAAGGGTGAGAGCCAGAAGAGGTAAGCAACCAGGCCTGACACACCGCCTGCCCTCCGGGGACGAGGGGCGCAGCAAGAGGGCTGAGGAGAAAATGAAGCCCCTCCATTTGTTGCAACTACCACTCCGCTGGGGCTGGGGTTGAGGTTGGGGAGGCGGTACGATAAAAGCAAGAAAATGAATGGTCCTGGCATTCCTAAAGAGAACGGACATAGGGACTCACCCTCAAATAAACCAAATGCCGCAAAACCCAAAACGCTCAGATGGGCAGCCTCGCCCCTCCTCCCGCCTTGGTTTGGCCTGCAAGTACGATACAGCGCACGATACAGCGCACGATACAGCGCACGCAGGCACGCGCACGCGCAGGCTGACTGGGTTTTGTGAGCTGAGATGTGAAACCAAGAGTTTGCGGGAATAGCACCAGAAAAATATGTACGTCCTTCTTTATTCCAAAATATTCTGTTGGAAAATGTCCAGAATCTAATAAGATCAGAGTTATATTGTCCTAAGATTTCTAACCCTGAAAAAGTAGGACAGTTTCATTTTACTCCCTCTGTGTCTCTGAAGAGCAACTCTAGCTGAAGGAGTCACTTGATGAATGTAAAACTGTCAGGGATGGTGACATAACCACTATGTTCTGAAGCCCAAATGAGGTCTTCAGGTTAATCCCAGTATCATCAGCACATCTCATGATTTCCTTTTTTTATTTATCCAGATTCGGGAATGTATCAAAAAGTAGGTGGTATGATATAGGACAACAGCTTCTTCTACACCTAAACAAAAAGACATTTGGCACAAAAAAGTAACTTTGTTGAGAAAGTCACTTGGAGGTCTAAAAATACATTAAACTATGCCTTAAAATACCAGTTATGAGGATGCAACCCAAATGTTATTGTAATCTTTCACCTTAAAAATATTTTCCAACTCATTTTGTATTGAGATGTCCTCACATTTAAACTGTGCTCACGAAGAAAATTTCTATTTTCAGTTTACAGAATAGAAACTTGGACAGGGCTGTGTACTTTTCCTGCCTTTTCTTTTACAAACAATAGAAAGCTATTACCTGAGCCTGGCTTGTTCTGGAACAGGGCTCACAGAGAAGTATGTCAGCCATGCTGTCGCTTAAGCTACTCTGTTTTCAAAGCTGGTTTTGGCTGAGAAGCTTCTAAGAAGGCAATCCTTTCTGCATTGTCATTAGGATAGCTTTGCTTTTAAAGAGTGGCTAGGCCTTGTGTTCTCAGAAGGCTTATTCCTTCAATGATTTTTGCTTTCTTTCTTTTTCTTTTTTTGTGGATAACATACTAAACACTCCTTCAGGTTTGGTCCTTAAAGAGAAGTAACCATAAGTGAGTAGAAAAACCTCCTTTCTAATAAAATGGAGAAACAATTGCCTGCCTGGCAAAGTTTACCACTTTAGAAGCAAGGATCATAAGGTCCATTTCTGGTATTTGCAGCACATTTATTGTAAAGGCAGTACAAGGCTAGTTAGTCTTGCCATTTGTTAAGAAGCAATACAGGTTTATCAAGCTGGGGAGGGCTAGTACTCCTGAGAGTATTAGGGGCTAAATTCTTCAGCAAGTCTGAAAAGAAAGAAAAATAAAAAACAAAACATATTGCATCTTTTGTATGAGTTTCAAGATAGGACAAGTCTTTTTCACGGCCTTATTCATCTGAGTGTGACTACTGTGTGTAGGGGGGAATTTCAATGAACAGAATAGATTTGTAATGAACTATGGGATATTTTATGCAAACAGAAACTCCTACTGACAAATGAGTCCCAGCTACTCACCTATTTTTGAAAGGATTTCAAAAATTCTAAATAGCCACATTGCTTTCCTAGATAGGAATCATTTTCAAAATTTATGGAACACAAACTTCTAAACTAACATGGTCCCAACCTTAACTGTCCTCTCCTGCTCTTTTATGTAATACCTACTTTGAACACATAATGCTTTCTTCATTTTTAAAAAACTTGTGATTGTTCAAATAGAAAAGCTCTGGAAAGCATGCCTTGCACTTTTTCTTTCACTAATCATATTTATTTAGAACAAATGGAATGGGAAGGGAACAGAATTAAATACAATCCTGAATTCCCATTTGTAATTAAATGAGCATCTGTACATTTTTCTGAATGGAATTCTGCTGCTACTGCTATCCACATGAGGCAAACCAACATTCTGAGCAATCCTCTTTCTTCAAAATAGTCAAATAGCAGAAATTATTTTAAAACAGAATCACTAAAAAGGCATTTTTGTTTCCATCAGGTAAGGGAAGGCACTAGCATGAATGCAGAATTGATATTCCAAATAGTGACTGGTGCAAACAGCTTCTGAAGAGCAACATCTGGTGTGTAAATACAAAGCAACACTGGAAATGCTCAGTGGCTGGCTGCAGTTTGTTTCAGTAAGTTAAATTACTTGATAGAATAACTTGCTAAGCATTTGTTAAATCTCCCCCAAGTAACACAAAACCAAATCAAGCAAGGTAGGATCAGTAAACAAGTAGATAGAAAGCCTAATCTGCAAAGAGACACGTTCAGGCCCTTCTACTGAAAAGTGGTGCATAGTCACTTGAATGAAAAGGTTTTTAATAAAATAAACCAAATATTTGCAGCTCCAGAAAGGTTGACTCAGGCTTTATTTAAAAAGAGGGGTCATTGTTGGGCCGGCCCGGTGGCGCACTGCTACAGTGCGCCGCTTGGGAAGCGCGGTGGCGCTCCCGCCGAGGGTTCGGATCCCACATACAGACCGGCCGCTCACTGGCTGAGCGAGGAGCGGGGGCAACACCGAGGGTTGCGATCCCGTTGCCGGTCCTGGTCCGGTACAGGCGCGACACTGAGGGTTGCGATCCGTTGCCGGTCACGAAAAAAGACAAAAAGACAAAAAAAAAAAAAAAAAAAGAGGGGTCATTGTGAAATGTGTGAGAGGGATTTGGAAAAGATCCTAAGCTCTGCAAACAGAAGTTACTTCTTAACATCTTTTATGGTTAATGTATGAAAAGGAATTTATACTTAAGTTACTGATACTAAAGACTGCACTTCAGCTAAGGAAAAACAGATGGTTGCATTTCACACCAAAGTCCCTAGCAATCATAAGGCTTTAAAAGAAAGTAGCATTAGGTTTGTTTTCATAAATGAAATAATATTGAGTCCAAAAGTTCACTTTCTCTGTAACTCATAGTTGTGTCTTTAGGTCAAAAATTTCTGAGATAGGGAAATTCCAAGACTTGGGGAGAATTTTAAATGTTAAAAGCTCTGTACGTGGACTTGTAGAGTGCGAAAATGAATCTCAAAAATCTTCTAGTTCATATAAATGTGCAAAACAATTTAAAAACCATAACCATCTAAGTATGTTTACATATACTTGTACACACATGCACGTGAAAGGGGTGAGAGCTGTGACTGGCCACAAACTGTCATCTGCAACGCAGACTCAACAAGCCCTGTTCTTTAGTTAGGTTGCTTACCCTTCTAAGGCCTCTCGTTCCACAGAGGAGTTGCAAACTACAGCCTGCTGCAGAATACAGACTGTTTTTTTATGTTTAAAAGGTTGTAAAAAACGAAGAAGATTATGCAACAGAGACTGTAAATGGTCCTCAAAGCCAAAAATATGCCCTATCTGGTCCTTTATAGAAAAAGTTTGCTGGCTCCTGTGCTACAGGATAAAATGAGATACTGGTCCTAAGGAGCAGATTAAGTAAAATATAAATGACCCTAAGCTGGTGTCTAGCATAGTGGCTGACTCAATACATAAATTTTTCCTTAAAAATGAAGAACATAACTTCATAAAAGCAATCTCACAAAAAGTCTAAATTGCAATAAATTCCACATATTCAGAATCCCCACCAGATGAATGTATGACAGTTAGAATGGGATAAGTTTTGACACAGGAGACCAGTTTTAGAATCTAGTATCCTCTGGAACTTATGTTTTGTTTTTCCGTTCTTCAATGGAAATTATTTGATTACCATAATAGCTTATAGTCTCCATTATTAGAAACACACAATACTGGGCCGGCCCGGTGGCGCACTCGGTTGAGTGTGGCGCTTGGGAGCGCGGCGGCGCTCCCGCTGAGGGTTCGGATCCCATAAAGAGACCGGTCTGCTCACTGGCTGAGCACGGTGCGGGCGCGACATCGAAGGTTGCGATACGGTTGCCGGTCGTGGTAACCGGGCGCGACACCGAGGGTTGCGATCCCATTACCAGTCAGGAAAAAACACAAAAAGGAAAAAAAAAAAGAAAAGAAACACACAATATTAAGGGAAATCAGATGTTTAGCCTGATGTTACTGTAATCTTCTGACCTTTGTAATTCTAGCTGTTAGCTAAAAACATATATTTCATTCTTGAAATAATTTTTTTCAGTGGCCAACAAAATTTATCTCTAGTAATTTAGCATAGAGAGGATGCATTATGATTTAGAAAGAGATAGCCAACTGAAACAAGCCTAAAACTTAAGTAATAAGCCAGCAGTAAATACCTAGAGACTGATTAAAGAAAAAGGAACACGTTTGGCAATTTTGATCTCTTTGTGCCATCATCTACTACCTTTGTAAGAAAACACAGAAGTTCAAGAAGAGGCATGGTGAGAGGCATGGTGAGAGGCAAGCTGATTTGTGCCCAAATTAGTCTGCTTCTTTTCCCATTTCTATGAGAATGTCCTTTTAAAAAGTAATAGCATAAATAGAGAGGCACAATAATTGGGAGATGAGATGCAAAAACAGGAAGTTCGAAATACTATTTTGGACTTTTTAAAGGATATATAGCAGTTTAGAAAAAACTTATACTCAGAAAAAGGCAACAAATGAATTCCTTCCTCCAGCAAAGAACTGCCCCCACCCTCTGCTTCTTTTTCTCTGATAATGCAGGTATAACTTATTCCTTAAGAATAATCCATTTCCAAATTCCTCCCCCAGAGGCTTCTGCTCCCTAACTGATTCATTTCTGTGGTCTCTATTCCTTGAGCATTCCACCCCCATCCACACATTATTCTGTTCTGCTATGTTGCTCTGTTGTTATTCTTATGTAATACCTCAGATTCACCTTTCAGATAGTAACTACTGCCTTCTAAGACTTGCAGCAGACACGGGCAAGGCCATCTGCTAAGTGCTAAGTACGTTTTCTTTTGTACTTTTAGAAACTCACTTATCAGTTTAAAAAGTGACACTCAAATGTTAATTAACTTGCTTGGCGATCTATTGGTGGTTTTATGCTATTTGAGCAATCCATTATAATGAAGTCCTGTTCTAAATGATCCACATTTCCACTGAATTACAGAGATATTCTACAGTCATATTTCCACCTAGCAAGAAAGCACTCTCTGCAGGAATGTATTAGGCCCAATGCTATATCAGGTTCCATCTAATTAGTTTCTTAGAGGTGGCACTGGTTTTGTCTCAACACAGAATAACTCAGATGCATTAAAAGTGATCAAAGGAAACATTCTGGCAATTGGAAAATGTTCTCCCTGTTGACACTGTTTTAGGCATTCCACCAGAAACAGTATTGTCTCAAATAAAGCCGTGTCATATTGTTGTACCTCTCTTCTCTAGATTATTTGCTTTTTAAATTTCCTTTAGCAAATAAGAAATGAGAAACGAACTCACCACACCATAGGAATATGTGTCACAAGTTTCAGAGACGGGGAGACTCTGGATAACTTCTGGAGCCATCCACGGGAAAGTTCCAACCAAGGACATGTGTGTTGTATGGTTATGGAACCGAGAAGCACCAAAATCACAGATCTGAGAAAAGAGGAGCCAACAACTTTCTACTTATTGACTAATAAAAGAATTATCAGTCACAAGAACCTACATTGAAAATTAATGGATTTTTTTTTTTAAATTAAAAGAAACAGTCCTACCTTCAAAACTCCATCAGCAGCTATAACAACTAAAAGAAAAAAAGATAAATTATGACAATCACTAAATTTGTCTGATAATTATCTTATACTGAAAATAATCACAAACTTCTATGTATATCTTCGAAATGGCATTATGAAAGATAAAATTATTTACTGCATCTAAGATTTTGCAAAAGGGAGCTGACATTAAAATAAAAACCTAATTGTATGAGATGCTGATTTAAAAGGCTTTTAAGACACTTGTTTTATCCAAACACAGCACTGTCCAGAAAAAAGGCACAAATTAGTAGTAGTTAGGAGAACCAAATTTTACCAGGATTCATTCAATAGACTGCCAACTGATATTGAGGAAGTCATTAGCATTATTACTTCATGGCATATATAGTTTTTCCTCCCAATTGAAGACTAATTTTCTTAAAGGCAGAGACAATATTCATTCATTCATTTATTCATAGTCATTCATTTAACAAATATTTGCTGAGCACCTGGTATGGGCAAGGCCATATATTATGTTCAGGAACAGGAGGGTGTGCAAGATTGCATTGTCTCTGCTCTTATGAGTACACAGTCTAATCAGAGAGACAATTAAACAAACAACTACGATAAAGTGGAATTAATTCCATGATGAAAGAAAGAGTGCTACAGAAGCAAAGAGCGGGGATATCTACGTCTAGGGAGGTCAGATGAAGTTGCCTGGAAGAAATGATGCTTCTGCTAAGATCTGAAAAACACAGGAGTTAAGAAGAGGAGAGCTGTAGGAGGAAAGAAGTTTTTTAGCCAGAAGAGAGAGCCTATGTAAAAACTCAGGAGCAGAGAAACAGCATAGCAATTTTGGAAGGCAGGAGCCAGGTCAAGAGGAGCTCTTGTGAGAAATGAAAAGACAATGAACAATTCTAAGTGAAGGAATGAAACAAGCAAATATGCAGCGGGGAAACTCCATCACAGAACAGAACTGGAGGCAGGGAGATCACTGCATAATTTATTGTGGTCTAAGAGAGATAAGGATGCCTGCATTGAGGCTGTGGCCAAGGACAGGAGAGAGTGGGCTGAGTCAAGAGTTATTTAGGATGCAGGATCAACCAGGCTTGATGAATAGCTGGGTATGGATGGAGAAGCAGGAAGACTTAATGATGAAATCAAATAAAGAGGCAGTACCACTTAATGGTTAGAACAGGAGCTCTGGATCCAAACTATAATTCCATTTTATTTAACTTCTGGCTTGGGTAACTGGTATTGCCATTCACTGAGAAAGGAAATGCAGGAATGATTTTTCAGGGGATAAGGAAAAGATGAAAAGATCAGTTCGGATACAATACATTTTAAGGTCATACAAAATATCTATGTGGATATGTCTAGTAAGCAGATAGATACATAGTTTTGAAGTTGAGATCTGTTTGGGAGTGTTAATATTAGGAGGGGCTTTTATGGGAATGAGAGCATAAGAGGAGAGGAGGCCAAGGAATGAACCCTGAAGGACTGTTGCTAGTATTTTTCTAGTAAGCCACACAGTACCTTGAACATGGCAGATGATCAATACTTACTTGTATTAGCTGGTCCTAATAATTTCGATAAGTAAGGAAAATAATCTTTGCATGATCTAATATATAGAAAGAGCCTCATGGTAGACATAATATAAGTAATAAGCTATAATCCTTTACAAAAAAATGTAAATATTATTAATATTATACTCAGTTATTTTTTAAAATACCTCTACTGCTTTTTTCTCATTAAAAGATTAACAAGTTCTGGGCCGGCCCGGTGGCGCACTGGAGAGTGCGCCGCTTGGGAGCACGGTAGCACTCCCGCCGAGGGTTCGGATCCCATGTGGAGACCAGTTCCCACTCACTGGCTGAGCGCAGTGTGGGCGCAACACGGAGGGTTGCGATCAGAGTGCGCCGCTTGGGAGCACGGGAGCACTCCCGCCGAGGGTTCGGATCCCATGTGGAGACCAGTTCCCACTCACTGGCTGAGCGCAGTGTGGGCGCAACACGGAGGGTTGCGATCCCGTTACCGGTCAGTAAAAAAGACAAAATGGGGAGGAAAAAAAAAAAAAAAAGATTAAAAAGTTCTTATTTAAAAAAATCTAACATTATAAAATGTATAACATAGAAAATGAAAGTCTTGTTCCCTCTCCCAGGAAAAAAACTGCTAAAAGTTACATCTATATTCTTTTAATTTACGTGTATGTGTGTTCCTATCAAGTAACTACACAAACCATAATTTTTAAAAATGAGGACATTCTCCATTGTTAAATAGTCTTCATAGTGATAGCATGGATAAATCCATAATTTAATCATTCTTCTCTCATGCAAGATTTAGGACATACTTATGTCAAATAACTTACTTAGATTGAAATTCTGAGCATGAGCTGAAATTAGACAAAATCATAAAACTTTGATATTTCTTACTAGATTCTAGATTATTTCCTGATGATTACCTGTTACCCAAAAATATGTCCAAGTGGTTAGCTCCAGGAAGCTTATGTCTAAGAAGAGTCAGAGGATAAGTGATGACCTAGAAGAGGGCAAGAATAATTGGCCAGAGCCACCAGGTAGGTTTAAGTTGGTGGTCCCACCTGAACTACTCATGAGTGGCAGCTGCCAATAACTTCCCTTCCTCCCCATCAATCACTCCCTGCCATATGCACACACAAACCTCAAGGTCCTGGAGTATGAGTGAGAGTACCTGGTCGATTCCCTGGTCCTCTTCTACTTGCCATTCTAAGGATCACACTTTTGGCATGTACCCATTTTAACCACAGTGATCTAAAGATCTTCTAAAAATAAATAGTTCTCTTCCTTACTAAGAAGAGCCATTTAGAAATTGTGTAATTAATTAATTGATAGCAAGATTTTTTTTAAAGTAGGAAACTCTGATGTTTACTTTAGCTAGCTCTGGATAGCTAAATAATCCCACTGCCATTCTCCAATAACTTTGAAGTGACGTAATGGAAGAAGCATTGTTACCACTCCTACTGTGAGGCGATGTCTAATCCTGCAACTTGTTTTAAAATTCTTGTTCTCCAAATTTTACAATACAGAATCATAAATAAACTTAATAAAGTACAGAAGAAGAGAAAAAAAAAATTAAGTCTCTATTTCCCAAACTCCCAAACACACTAATCATTTTTGGGCACTGCTCCAGGTAATATGGGCATGACTGACATAAAAAATTTACAACATATAATTCAGAAGTAACAAGGACAAAACTCAAAATTGTTAGTACAGAGGGCCCTCTAAAAATAGAAGACTAAAAATACATGACCACACACTCTGACCCAGCAATACCTCTTTTAGAAAATGATTGTAGGGAAATAATTAGGGATGTGCTGAAAAATTTGGCTGTACAGTTTTAAGCCCAATATTTCTTATCAAAGAAAAAAGTGGAAACAACATAAATGTCCACATATTTTCCCCCAAATGTCCACATTCTGTGCTATATTCATACAATGGAATACTGTGCAGCTTTTTCAAATGATATAGAGAATTTTGATATTTACTGATAGTGGAAAGATATTCATGGTATCAGTGGTGGGTCAAACAGCAGGTTATGCAAGATATGTAAAACATGATGCTTGTGTCTAAATAACTTAACATACAGGTGGATGCAATTTGTAATAAAATAGGTAAAATAAAAACATATGACTACATTACCATTTCTTGACTTGAGATCTCTATGAATGACCTTAACAGGAGCCTCCATGTGTAAATAGTGCATTCCTTTTCATATAAGAAGGAAAAAAAGCCTATTAATATTTTTCAACATTGCATCAGTATTACCTTTCATATTTTTCAAATAATTCAATAGCAGAAACTAAATTCATGTGTTTTATTCTTTTAGGTTAAAATAGAAATAGGACATGCATACAGTAGTAACGTTTATATGCTAAGTAAAATTTATGTGGTTTTATCTCTTAGAGGATGGAATTTGATTGTGGATAAAGCTAGCTTCTTATGATACCTAATAAGGACACCTTAATTTCTGTAGTCTGCATCAAAATAGTACAGTAACCACTGGAAGAGTGCTCTGTAACTTAGGTATTCCACTACCAACTGCCTTCTAAATCTGCCAAAGTTCAGACCAGGATTTTCAGTTTTCATTTGGAAGTCTACAGTTACACAGTTACAAGTTGGTTTTTTTTTTTTTCAGTACTCATTCCAACAAGATCTGGGAGTGGAGGTAGGGTAGGGGTGGGGAGACCTGAGAGGACTGATTAATTACGGTTGGTAAAGGATTTTATGGATCTTCAGGTAGAAAAATATATAGTGTTAACAAAATATTTTATTTTTTTCACTAGGATGAATCTTTGAGATATTCTACATTTAAATACACTTCAAAATTCTCTCCAACATATTTAGGATGTAAATCAAGTTATTTCGGTAAATTGGGTATGTATAAAGTAAGTAGAGTTTTATTATTTTCAATCAAAAATTATACTTTAAAAGACATATTTCATGGTTACCCCCTTAGTAGTTTGACTTTCTGTATTTATGTATTATCTACCCCCTTAAAATAAAGAAAATACACATTGTCTACTGAAATATTTCCTTTTCCTTTATTTCTCAAGTTAACTTTTCTAAATAATGGATAAACAGCCTCCCTTTTCCCCAAATCAAACAGGCTCCTTTTGTTAATCAACTATCCAGTGAACATAATTTAATAACTAGGCTTTGGCTTTATAAAGTATACAGAACATTTCAATTTCATAAAGGTTAATTTTTAAATCTATAATATTCTTTTTCTACTATTCTTATTATATATTAAAGAATCATGAAGGAACAAAGAAAATGAGAAAAAAATTTAAACTCTTGCCACATGGCAATATCACTCAAAAGGGTTAACAAAAGTAATAGTAATTTAAGTAATCTTGAACAAGATGTAATTGGGATGAAGATAATCTCTCTTCTAATATGAAGTTCTACATACTTTACTTTAAACTGCAAAAATCCAATAGTTACAACTCCAGTAGCATTTAATAATCTCTATGACTGAAGTTCACAGTTACCTTTTTCTTGCTTTTAGAATCAAATTCCTGAATAATTTTCCAAGTAGAATCTACTTAATTACTATTAGAGGTAGAGATAGTTTCTATACTTGCTGACATGTAAGGATTTAGAAAAACAAGACACAAAAAGCTTTAAATATAGGCACTTTTCTTCCTCGTGGCAGGTTATCATCAGAAAAAAATACCATAAATTAATTGTGTACAATGTATAGTATACACTTAAATAATATTTAGTGTAAATAAACAGTAGTAATAACAATCATAAAATTCTATTTAATTTGCTTTTGTAAAGCCATTTATAATTCTGCCTTATTTTTATTGCAAACAATTAAGAAGGCTGAAAAATACTTTCATCAAGTTTTAACTTTTAGGGTTTCCTACAAAAGATGTGACAGGTGTCATTGAGAATACTTTTAGAGAGATCTGGAATCGGTGACCATTTTGAGACTGGATTCAGGTTTATCTGCTTTAATTTTTGCTTTTATGTGTTGATGATTGACTTGCAGCAATTTCAGATATACTTGTTGGTCATGAAAGAAGAGAATCATTTTTTACTTGGAGGAGATATTCTCTCAACAGCAATGATGCTGAGCAATGCCTATTTCAAAGTGCATGAATCAACTCTTATTAGAAATGAATTACTCATTCTTTGATTTCTCAACACATTGTTGCTTCAGAGGCTTCAATCGTGGTCAAACTGAAAGGTCCATAGCTGAATTTCAAAAGAATCAACACATATTGCTCTTTAATCTCTAAGTTCTACACACAGCTTTATCAAAGAGGGTTGGTTTCTTTTCCTTTTTATAGGCCATCTTAAAGGATTTTTAAATGTTAAATAGTACTTGTAACTATAAATAAACAAGCCTCTTCTTTGCCTAACTCTTCTCGCCCAAGGCCAAACACATTACATTAGCACTTGCCTTTCAGATCAATTCACCAGCCAAGTAAATGGGGTTTTATTACTCTGTAGTGTTGGACACCATCAGGGACTCTGCTCTCATTCTCTCCTTCCCTATTCTTTACCTCTGGTTCCAGTTTGCTACTTAATTCTGTGTCTTCTCTTCCTCGCCCTATTGATGCAGACCCCCCCCCCCCCCCCCCCCCCCCCCCCCCCCCACCCCCACAACCAGAGGGCGGGGGCACAAAAAGGGACCACACACGGGACGGGGGGGGGCGGGG